CCCTCTCCCCCGCTCGCTCACCCTCCCTCCCGCTCCCCGCGCCCTCCCTCTCCGCCCTCCTCCCTCCTCGCCCCGTCCTCCTCCAACCTCGCCCCTCCTCTCGCTCGCTCTCCCGCCCTCCTCCCTGCTCCCTGTCCTCCCCCCCCCGCCCATCGTCTCTCTTCTCTCTCTCTCTCTCCTCCCTCTCTCCCTGCTCGCCCTTCTGCGGGCCCCTTCCAAAAGGGAGGAGGCACGCGACCGCCGTGCAGGCAAAGCACGTCGGAAGGACCCTCGGCATGCGCAACTGCGCTCAAGCCCGTGCCCACCACCACCACCCTGCTCGCCCGTCACCCTCTTCGCCCTCATCCCTCCTATCCCTCCTCGCTCGTCTCCCCAGCCTCCCCGTATTTGCCGCGCTGACAGCCAGAGCGGCCGGCCCAGCGCCAGAGAGAGAGAGAGCGCAGCTGGCCGGCTGCCGATGCGGCAGCCCGGGCCGCCGGAGCCTACGCTGACGGTCGGCATTCCCCCCCCCCCCCCCCGTTGGCCAGCCCGAAGCACATGCTTGCCCTTAATTACCCCTCCCCTCCCATCTCCTGAGGAGAGGAGAGGAGAGGAGAGGATTGGGATGAGTGAGAGTGTGGTAGTGTAATGGAGAGGGAGAGGTAGAGGAGGGGATGAGGAGGAGAGGGAGGAGAGAGAGGAGTGGAGAGGAGATGTAGAGGAAGAGATGTGGAGAGGCTTATATCGTTTACGGTACTGAGTAGGAGAGGTATGCGAGGATCTCGAGGGTCTTCTTCTACGCGCTTTACTTATTCTCTTATTTGATATTTTATTTTTCTTTGCTGTTTAGGTCGCTGTCCTCTTTGCTACTTCAGTTTCTGCTTATATTCTCTCTGTTGCTTGGGAGTGTTCTGCTCTGGTAGGTGCTAGTTTCCTCGTGTCCCTCTCCTATTGGCCGATCATTCTTCTTCTCCCCCCTTCCCTTTCTTCTGGCGGTCTTTTGCCTTCCCTTCGGTTCATCTCTTTGGTCGCCGCTGCTTTCTTCCCTCTGTTCTTTCTTATGTCCCCTACAGGGGGATTTGCGACGAAGAATAAATGAGACCGGAGAAAAAACCCAATCAGGGCAATAGGGCTAGGGGGCTCTAGGGAGGGCTATAGGGCTATTGAACTATAGGGCTACAGAGCCATAGGGCTGTAGAGCTGTAGGGCTATAGGGCTATTGGGCTATAGGGCACCCCCGGCCAACCCCGGGCACGCCCGGGCACCCCCTACAGGGGGATTTCCGGCGAAAAATAGAAAATACCTCCAAAATATCCCAAACAGGTCCAAACATACCCAAAAAAATAGTCCCCAGACGATGTTTGGACCATGTTTTGATTATTTCTAGGGTATTTTTCATTTTTCGTCGGAAATCCTCCTGTAGGGGGACAGGCCCGACTTAACCGAAGTCGGTGGAAGCAGGCAGGAGCACAGTCAGCCCGCACAGCAAGAATGGGTACCCCTCCCAAGGGTGTCGGGGGTGGACAGACCTCCTACCCTGACACGTCGATTAGCGAATTGGCTGTCTTCGGTTCGCGAGAGGGCGTCGCGGCCGTCATTTTTGCGGGCCCAGGTCCGTCGGTTTCGGCCCCAGTGAGAAGGAGAAGGCCTTCTCGGAAGGCGGCGGGACTTCTCAGAAGCCCTCGCGCCCTCTGAGAAGTTTTTTCTGTCTTCGGGGAAGGCTTAGAAAACTTCTCAGAAGGCCAGGGGACTTCCGAAACTTCTGAGAAGGCCCGCCCCTTCTCACTTCCCCCCCTCGCTCGCCGCCTACCGACATGAACATAAACTTTTGGCGCTCCGCGCGGATTTCTGCCATCGGCGCCTGGGCCCCCATGGCGGCGCATCCGGCGCCGCCCCTGGCGCGCTCCGCGCGCCAGGGAGGGGGGCCCAGCGCAGATCCAAGACATCCGCGCGGAGCGCCAAAGCTTCCTTCTGAGTCGGATGTCCAGGACGCCACATCTCTGTCCCTACGGTTGGCGTCACCGTTTTTGAGGGCGCATCCCCCAAAATTCTCATGGCATTGGCCCCGTCGATCTTCTGCACACGAGCTCGAGGCTGGTTGCCCCTCTCTTCGCCCCTCCCTCCAGGAGGGGATGGGGGCGGATGTCCCAGCATGTGCAGCGGGTGTTTGGGCGCTCTCTTGCCTCTCACCTTTCAGGGCAAATCTGCAAAAGCTTAGCTTTTCGGAGCTCCGAGCGGATCAGTTCCGCTTGGATCGGCTCTGGACCCCTTTCGGCGCCTTTGGCGCCGCCCGTGGCGCGCTCCGCGCGCCAGGGAAAGGGAGTGTCCAGCGCCGATCGCGCACTCCTCGCCGAGCAGCGCTGCGTGCCCCAACCTGCCCATGAACGTCGGGTTTCCGCATCGGGGGTGAGAGACAGAAGTGAGACGTGACGTGCCCCACCCGGGAATTCGTTTCGTGTCGTTCGTGTCTTGGCACGAACCAAATGGGTACGGAAATAATGGGTACAATGCCCAACAGCAG